CTTTTCCTTAGGTAGGACAGAAGTTACGAAATTATATAGTACGAAATGTCACCCGCACTGATACGGTATGGGGTCCATTAATACATCATGGTAGGATGATATTTTTTTAAGCACGAAATACAGAAAAAATATCGCACTTTCTTATTCTTTCATACGGCTGCTGATGTAGATCCAGAGCAACAACAACAACTTTACATCCAGGCGGTCAAGCCCAGACAACCGCTTCATGAGTAGTGTATCGCTGTACTACAATATTATTATTTCTATTTTAACATGTACGGCCAACTGAACTATGTAGTTCTTTTTTGCGAAAATGAGCTGGTTATCACAAATGATAGCTCAATGAAGCGGCTTATCACCATGCGGAAATGTATAGCAACAGCCAAATGCTCTAAATGCGTGATGTTGATTTTAAATGTGGAGCGAAAAACCGAAGGACCCAGAGAAAAATCCACGCGACCACAAGGAGAGAGAAAGACACACTCCAAATATACAGCAGGCGTCAGGGTCGGGATCGAACCCACGACCTCCTGTATACCAAGCGAGGTAGTTAACATCTCACCACCGTGGCACCCAAGTTTATTCAGACTCTCCTTCCCATAACATATAAAATTTAATAATGGAGAAAAAAACTGTTTATTTACTTATTATTTATGTTATTTAATTTATTAACTACTTATTCTTTACGCTATTCCTTGCGCACGGTCACACTTTATTTTGCACGCGGTTGCGATTTACTTTGCTCAGTCGGCGCTAGCCGCTTAGAGGTCTGATGGGTTTCTATCTTCATCTCTGTTGTTGGTCCGTGACCCTGGTACCGTTCCCATTCTGCTGCAACGCGCACCGACGCGCAAGCTTTATTGACAGCACGATATTGGCACGTAAGCTAATGATCAATCAATCAACTGAGCTTTTCTTCTGCCTCGTATGCCACGCGTGTACCATCTGTCGGCTTCTGAATCGGCCATTGCTGCATTTGCCGCAGTCGTCCGGATCACGGGGACTTGTGGTCGCTACTGAAGGTAACGCAGAGCCGCCCGCGGTACCGTGGGGTGGTGGAGCCGCCGTGACTGACGGTGGCAACTCGTGCGTAGAGCACTCATACTACGTAATACACAGCAGAATGATCCACGGTCAGGTTCACATTGTGGAGAGAGGGTCCATACAAAGACAAAGATCCCCTTTATCCCCACCTCACCTTGCTGACCTTGTCAAGGAGCAGAAACCATCAACACACAAACTCCGGCCATCCTCACAGCAGCAGCAGCAGCTTTTGGCTGGCCATCGAACAAAACGGTCACCACATTGCGCGCTTTCAGATGTGCTTCTGCAACCGTCTGGAACGCTCTTCCTTCCGATATTTTAGGAAGCCACTGGAGCTATGCACTTTTAAATCCTCATCTGGATTGACAACCCATTTTTTTAGAACTGCTTTTTGTGTTTAGTTTGTTGCCCTTTCCCCGCACCTCCGATTAGCACGGTTGGCTACGTACAGTGCTAAAGAAGTTTGACACATACATATGTAATGACATGATGACACCTGCTGGCTGAGAAAGGGAAGCGCGGGTACGGGCACGGTTAAGATAACATCCAATCAGAGAGGGAGAGGTATCTGGGGGAAAGGTAATGGGTGGGGTTGGCCGAGATGCTCCGGGAACCGGCTCAAAGGTTCCATGGGAGGGCGTGGCCAGAGGTGGGGCCTGGCCATGCCTGGGGGGATATAAGGGCGAGCGGACCCAGGGCTCTTGGGTTCGTGTGTGGATTCTTGGGTCCGGACTGTGTCGCTGCTTGCAGTCATTTATCTCCGTCATTCGCCCACGTGGAAGATCTCCTGCGGGGTTTCCATCGCCATCCTCATCACGCCGCCAGCCAGCGGCGCAGCCGAGTGAGGGCGGTGGGACCACGCCGAGTGATCGGCTGTGTGTAGCCAGTAGAGACGTTACTATCTAAATGTTGTACTCAGAGTGAGAAGAATAAGGCTGGCCTGTGTTGTACCTGTGTGAGAAAATAAATAATAAGTACCCTCTACACGACGTGTCGCAGAAGTCGCTCATTACATATACATGAGAATTTTAACAAATACTATATATACTCACACAGGCTGTCGGGACAAGTGCTGTTAGCAAGTAGCACCTATGAAGGCCGACACGGCACACGAGAGGGTGGGTGGCCAGCACTACGCTCGGCTGCCTTGGTCTTTCCAGTGGCGATGTTTACAAATGGCACATGGTACATACTTATTTGTTGCCGAGTCGACCTAGGGGAGGCGCAGGACCGGTTCAGATAATGGTCACTGCTGTTGGTGGTCGTGAGCGGGAATTGAACTCGGGTAATCGGGTTCATAGCGCAGCGCGCTAACTGCTGCCCCACCGCTGCCCCACCGCTCCCCCCTTACGTACTCGGTATGTACGGGTGGATTGCGAGTTCCGGTTCGTGGGTTGACTTCCTCACTGTCCACCTCGTGGTGAGCGGTCGCCCCTCAGCGGAGGGCCGTCGAAACTCCATACGTGCACAGTGAAAACAACTGATGGTTACGCACGTGGTGCCACGCATGGGCTAACAGGATATTAATCATTGATCACGGCATCACTCATCAACCCCTCGACCCACTTCGCCCTTTCTTGCACCGCGAGGTGTATAGCCGCTGCTGTTGCTTCGTCTGTTCACCATGTCGAACAACCCTATGAACGCCATTAACTTTAGGAGGCTAAATTTCCCCATTGGACGAGCGCATCAGCGCCATCTAAATCAGAGTGTGTATACTGCAGGAGGAATCCGATTAGCTATGAAGCTCTTTTTCTTCTAAATGTGGAGGGAAAACTGGATGACCTGGATAAAAATCCACGTGACCACGGGGAGAAAGACATGCAAACTCCAAATATACAGCAGGTGTCAAGAGTCGAAATAGAACCCACGACCTCCTGCATACCAGGCAAGGTAATTAATATTTCACCACCATGGTGCAAACATTTATCTTTTTAATTCAGAATACCGAGTGGATGCACGCCCAATGGGCTAGCTTGCCAGATTGTTTTTATTTCACTACAAGTGTGAGACTGGCCGCATTAGCCGGCACACCATTAATCGCTGCACCGCTGGCGCTGGGCAAGTGGTCAGCTACTGCTGCTAAAATACGTACGACATTGTATGGTCGCTATCATACAGGCGCTGGGGTGCTATTGTGTGGAGGGCTATCGTTCTGAGAGTGCGGATTTCTTCTTCTTCCACATGGCTGATGTAGATGCAGGGCAACGACCTCTTTCATATTCAGGTGGTCAAGCCAAGATAATTGCGTCAGGAGTAGCGGAGTGTATCGCTGTGACGTCTCCTTCATATTTGTGGATCGGGGCATTGTGTCATTATACATTGTACCGTCTGTTCTGGATGACCACAGTTACACACTACTACTGAAGAGTTTCTAATTTTCCATTTGTGGATCAGGTATCCACATCTGGCACAGTTTGTGCAGATGCGGTTGGGGGTGGACAATTAGCTTAAGGGATCTTCTGCGTTGAGTCTTTCAGAACAAGCTAGTGTTTGTGAATTATTTTGAACTCAATTCAGCTCTCAAAGCTTCATCGGGGATTGAATGCGCATTGTTGAAGGTGAAGCATATGGGACCAAAATGGCGCTTGGCGTGACTTCAAGAGATGATGAGGGACGTTATCAAGGTCCTGATGAATGGGAAGGCAACCGTTTTCCTCGATTCACAGGACTTACCCGAAGGGTTGCAACGTTGTGTCGTTTGGGTGGGGAAGAGACGGGGTTACAGAACTGACAACAAGAATGGTAGGGTAGACTTGGGGGTTCCTGTGATACACCACCACATTGCATTGTTTAGTTGGACATCAACAAGTCGAGTGGTGACTACTTTTGGTCCAAAATGGCGCACAGTACTCACCTACAGAGTACACACAAGGGCCATGGTTTATATTTCCAAAGCACTGATGGTGCTGAATTTCCCCAGCTTGTGCTTGCAAGTTTCTGAAACATGTTGACCCTTTGTTTTGGTCTTGGCAGCTACCTTTTTCGAGGCGGTCGTGGAAGGTTAGCGTACATTCTGCCTTCACTCTGGGATAGGTCGGAATGGGGTCGAGTCACACAGTGTCGCCACAGAAGTGTCACTTTCAGAGTGTGCTTGGCGCTGCTACTATCAAGATAAAATGCAGTGACTGTTGTTAGTTTGTGGGGATTTGGCTCGTGCCTCCATTTCTGGAAATATTCCCCCATGGCGTTTAGGGTTTCGGTTTCACAGTGGATTCAGTGCCGTTGCTTTGAGTTGCCAGGGCAAGGTCATCCGCATGCACACAAGTGTGCATGAGTGCAGGGCGATCGTCGCGAGGGGAGCAGGTCGCACTTCATGGACGGGAATAGGCCACGCCTAGTGGACCTAAACAGGCCGCACTTCATGGACATGAATAGGCCACACCATATGGACCTAAACAGGCCGTGCTTCGTGGACGTGGCTCGCAGTCGGTCCGCAGTCAGGGGCCGAGTTGCCACGCGCAACCCACTGCAGAGTAAATGCCATTGTCGATGTCGCCTTATTGCAATTTGCCGAATTTGGGCTGTGACTCCGGTACACCATTGCCAACTGCTCACGAACGACGTCGTGGGAGCTTCACAGCTGTCCCGTGTGCAGCAGATGCTGATTGTGTTTCACAGTTAACACGCACACCATGGTATTAACCAGGGCAGCCTGCCGGGTTAAAACCACACCACCACAAGTTATCACTGTTGGCTATGTACGGTGCGAAAAAAGTTAAACATACCGACATACATAGACTCACACAGAGGCCCATAGACTCAAGAAAGTTACCCATAGACTTACACAGCACGATTGGCTATGTACGGTGGCGCGAAAAAGTTCAACATACACACACATACTTTGCGTGTGATGAGCGCGACCTCGAGTCGCAAGCCTCACCGCCGCCTATCGGTGTCACACCCCTGCTGCCCTACCTCTCCCCACCAACCAACCCTCCGTGGGCTGTGCGCAGGGCGAGCTCTTGAGTCCCTGCCGATGCGATGGCTCCGTGCGCTGCACCCACCAGCCTTGCCTCGTCAAGTGGATCAGCGAACGCGGCTCCTGGTCCTGCGAGCTCTGCTACTACAAGTACCAGGTCATCCCCATCAGCACCAAGAACCCGCTGCAGGTAATGCGGCCCTCTGCAGGGCACCCTCGGCCGTCCGCCCCTCCCCCCCACCTCCGGTCTGCACGGTGGGGTGGGGGGCTGCGCTGTGATGCTCCCGAGGCTGCCCCCACCCCTCCTTCTGCCGGTGTTTATTTTCGTGCAAAGTTGCAGGTCGGAAAAAAAACACCATGAAGTTCGTAACACTACATGCGGTGTCCGCTTGGAGGTTGTGGGAATACTCCCCAGGACGAACAGGAAGGCAGCCGGAAACTGGTGCCAGCAATTGCCCAAGGCTCTGCGGTCCTGTGTTTGGATGTTGGGCGAACTCCAATAATCATAAGAGCGAGATGTTTAAAATATAGCTGGGAGCGACCATGTGGAGACTCCATGTCCCCTCTTTCAAGGGACACCTTTAGTTACGAAACAATACAAGGTGAGACGGAGATGGAGACGAGACAAGACAGAGACACGACAAGACGAGACAGATGAGATGAGACAGATTCAAGACAGAGACGAGACAGGATGGAGATGAGACGGAGATGAGATGGAGACAAGATGAGATGGAGACGAGATGAAAGGGATTCGAGACGGAAATGAGACAGGATGGAGATGAGATGGAGACGAGATGGAGATGAGATGGAGACGAGACGGAGACGAGACGGAGACGAGATGAGAAGGAGATGAGATGGAGAGATGGAGACTAGATAAGATGGAGACAAGACGGAGACGAGATGGAGATGAGACAGAGACGAGACAGAGATTGAGACTAGACGAGATGAAGATGAGACGGAGACGAGATGGAGACGAGACGAAGACGACATGAGATGGACATGAGACGGAGATGGAGACTAGACCAGACGGAGACTAGACGAAATGGAGATGAGACGGAGACAAGACAGAGATGGAGACTATACGAGACGGGGATGAGACGGAGGTGCGACGGAGATGGAGACCCGATTAGTGAGAGTTGAGACCGAGATTAGACGAGACGGAGATGAGACGGAGACGAGATGAGATGGAGAAGAGAGTATTTCCTCATTATTCACGAACTTGCTATATCGGCGATTTTGGCTATCTGCAAATCACATCTAGAACTCTACATGACTACTGCATTGAGAGAGAGAGGAGATAAAGTGATTAGAGATAAAGTGATGACAGACAACATAATGAGAGAGAACTTGATGCGAGAAAGTGATCAGATAAAGTAATGAGATATAATTTAAAGTAAGTACATTTTTAACTATTATTTAATACTTGAATATGTATTTGCTTTGAATTTGTTTATTATAACCATTTAAAAAATTATCATGCATATAATAGTTCATTTAGGTATGATAATTTAGGTAATTCGTTTAAAAAAGCAGGTTTTCATAGGCCAATATCATTATCTGCGAAAGGTTCTATTCACGAGCATATCATGAAATGTATCTCTCGTCGCGAGTAACGGGTGAGTACCGGACTTTGTGTATGCCGATTATGCTGGCTAGTTACTAGGGCGCGCCTCTCCTGAGTTGTTCGTGTTTAAAATGCTGGAGGAAAGCGGGAGTACCCAGAAAGACAAAACCCCACGCATACCGAGGGGGATTAACATTCAATGGGCTCCACACACACACGCGCAGTTTCAATTCACGGACAGAATCAATCCAGTGAGTGGAACCACATTTATCCATGGAGCGCATCTATACTGGGCGCTCTGCAGCTCTTGCAGTTGTGTGCTTTGACGCTCTGGTGAGGGGCTGCCACCATTTGGAAGGTTGACCAATGCATTGGCATGGAGCGTTGTAAATGTGAGTCTTCTCGGGTAGTGGAGTGATTCATAACAATACAAAACAATATGTTGGATTAAGTGATTTGTCGTGATGGGTACTGCTGCAAGATTCGACCGTATCCATCCAGTGCTTGCCGAGCTGCATTGGCTTCTGGTTTGCTGAACGATGCATTATTGTAAGTTTGTGCTCATTACAAACACAAAGTGCTTGCCATAAACCACTGTTCTTCATTGCAAGGCCCGTGGGCCACTGGCAGCCCCTGGTGGCCTTTAGTGTGGCCCCTGATGTGCGGCCCTCGACAATACACAAATGTGAAAGCACCCCCCATCACCATCGTGCTGTTGTCAAACCCCAATGGTTTCAAATGTGTGGCTGCCCTCACACTGATGATGTCTTATTGCTAAAAGTGGCCCCCTCTGAAAATTAGTGAAAAATACTTTACAAAAATGAACCACAAAAACTTGCATAAAACCATCACGCGAACTCTGGTCATCCTCGTAGCAAAGGCTTTTGGCTAACCGAGCATAGATGCTCACTGCATTGTGCAGAACTTTCAGATGCACTTTTGCAGCCGTCTGGATCGCTCTTCCTTCCGATATTAGGAAGTCACTGGAGCTGTGCACTTTTAAATCATCATCTAGGTTGGCAAACTAATTTCTTTCCAAATGTTTTTTGTGTTTAGTTTGTTATTTTATCCTGTACCTCCAATAAGCATGGTTCGTTACGTACGGTGCGAAAGAAGTTCAGCAAGGGTTTTGCCACCAAGTACTAAGTCATGTTTTGCAGAGGGGTCAAATACTTATTTCCCACATTAAAATGCAAATCAATTTATAACATTTTTGACATGCGTTTTCTGGATTTTGTTGTTGTTATTCTGTCTCTCACTGTTCAAATAAACCTACCATGAAAATAATAGACTGATCATTTCTTTGTCAGTGGGTAAACGTACAAAATCAGCAGGGGATCAAATACTTCTTTCCCTCACTGTATACTGAATACAATATACAAACACCATATATACAACATACAAATGTAATGACGACTTGACACACTTCTCTTGAGGAAAACGAGCAACGGTGGCTGTGTTAGTGAGACATTTACCCTGTTAATGTAAGATTAGCATGTCAATGTAAGAAAAACGAGAGCCATCGTCACATCGAGGAATACGAGCAACGGTGGCTGTGTTATTCAGATATTTAGCCTGTTAATGTAAAGATATTTAACCTGGTAATGTAACTCAGAGAGTCGAAAATAACTGCGAACATCGGCAGGTAGGATGGAAACATCACAGTCAGTTAAGACTTAAACGAGTTAATAACGTCTTTCCAATGATATCTCAGTTTGTACCCATCTTCTCGGTTGAAATTGTGTCTGTGTTTATATATCTGGATGGCGTCATGAACGAATCTTTGCTGATATCAATTTCGTGTGTGCCCACAGCATTGAAGCAATGATCAGCCACGGCTGAGGTATTGGTCCTACCGTGTTTCTGATCTGCCTTATGTTCACGAACACTGTCCAAAACATGTCGCTTAGTTTCCCCAATGTAACTACTGCTGCAGACAGCTTAGTTTGTAGACACCGGGGTATTGCATGTCAGGGATCACATCCTTCACAGATGGGATCAGATCACGAATTTTATGTACTGTATTGAATCGATCCTGTATCTTGTGTTTGCTCATGATTTTGGAAATATTTTTGGTAACCCCTGCTATGTATGGCAAGGTGATGGTTTTGATTGGGTCCTCAAATGGTTATTTCCCAACGGTTGAGGTGATAGCTTTACGGATTGTGTTGTCTGAATATCCATTAATCTTGAGGGCTTGGTGTACGTGTTCCAGTTCACTGGCTAGGTGGTGGTGGTCGGAAATACAACGAGCTCTATGGTGTAGAGATTTTATGAGGGTATTCTTCTGGGATGGATGGTGGTGGGAGTCAGGTTTTAGGTAGGCATCCGTATGGGTGACTTTCCTGTAGACAGAGTGTCCCATTGAACCATCTGGTCTCTTTTCGTTCAAAACATCCAAGAATGGTAACTTTCCATCCTTTTCCACCTCCATGGTGAATTTGATGGCTGGGTGTATGGAATTGATGTGGTTGAAGAATTGGCCCAGAGCTGGTAGGCCATGTGGCTAGATGACAAACGTGTCATCTAGGTATCTCTTCCACAAGAAATGACGTAGGGTGGATGCCTGGATGGCATCTGTCTCAAATTTTTCCATGAAAACATTGGCTACAACTGGAGATAAGGGAGAACCTATTGGGATACCTTCAACTTGTTTGTAGAATGTTCCATTCCAGGTGAAGTAAGTATTGGTGAGGCAGTGTCTAATCAGGACCGGTACATCAGCATTCAGTCCTTGTTGGACCAAATCTTCAATGATTGCAATGGTGTCAGGCACAGGAATTTTGGTGAACAATGATACTACATCGAAACTGACAAGCAAATCACCTGGAGATAGTGAGATGTCCTTAATTAAAGATACCAAGTGAGCTGAGTTAAGTACAGCTGTGGTGTTATTACCAGTGAATGGTTGTAAGGTCTCAGAGAGAAATCGGGGCAGTTTGTAGGTGGATGAGTCGATGGTGGAGACAGGACGGAATGTTGTACCTACTTTATGGATATATGGTAAGCCATAAAATCTGGGTGGTCTAGCAGCAGAATATTCTAAGGAAAACCGCTTGGTTGGTTCGATTTAAAGATGTCGAATCAGTGGTGATATTGCTGGTATTCGTAACCAGGCGGTTGGTATGATCTCTATTTATTTTGGTATAGCTGCCATCATTAAGTAGGTCCTGAATTTTGTCATTGTATGTGGTTTTGTCCATGATGATAGTGGCAATGCCCTTGTCGGCTGAGAGGATGACTATGTCATCTCTCTTTTTTAGTTGAGAAACTTCAACTTGAAAACTCGTTTTCCTCGATGTGGCAGTGGCTTTCGTATGTCTTACATTGATTGGCATGCTAATCTCTCACAATACAATGGCCACCTCCACAGCTTCGTTGTCGTGGAGGGAGCTCAGCTCTCCAATCTCACATTTACGTGCGAATTTCATCTCTAGCCTCGCCCACTTCGTTTATGACCCTTAGGCTCCACCCATCTCAAACCTTTATAAGATCCTGCCTCAGCAGCTCTCCTGCTATATTTTTCCTGCCTAAGTAGCTCTCTCGATATATTTTTTCACCTGATGACGATTGCTTGTGTTGCAATCGAAACGTCGTGATATTTGTATTTTTTTATTATTTTTATT